ACACTCGAACCGTTCACCTTGGCTTTACACGAATGAACAAGAAAGGCCTCGATTTTTACAAATTCATCCTTCCAAAGTTTCAAGTCACAGTTGTACTTAGCTGTATATTTTCCCACCAGCGCTTCAATAGGAATTTCTTCTTTTTCTTCTCGTAGAAGGCCAACAACTCTGTCACGCTCGATTTTCATCTTTTCTTCATCGGTAATCTCCATTATTTTCACTTCAATGCCCCACGTTGGGCGCCAAAATGTAACAGTGGGGTTTCGCGAACAATTGGAGAAACATAAACAACACAAATTTAACAGTCTTCTCTTGTTCCTTGTACAAACTTCTTTCAAAAACTACTAAATTACAAAGACGACACACACGAGGAGCCTGACTCGGACCCAGGCCTAAATGCGTGAGCTATTAAGAGCCTGTTACAACATGCCTACAAAAATCAGACTGCCACAGTAGGATTCAACGGTAGTAACGCCATCTTAATTATTATTATTCCCAGTGATAACCGACAATAATCAAAGCTTATTGGCTGAAAGAGATGGTGGGCGTGTGCCTATGGAAATCAAATTTACTTATACTTAATCACCGCAATTATGCTTTTGATTTGGTGGATATCTTGATGATATTTTTAATAAAAAAAATCTTCGAAAAATCTCAAAAGAAAGATGATGAAGAAAAGGTATGTACAGTCATCGAGGATTGAGTCGTGAACTTCATATTATATCCGCGCTTTGAACTCGTTGACTGCTATTTCTATTGTGTAAAGGGCACCAAGTTCACAGGTCGAGCTAATTAGTCTTGATAGAAAAGAACCCAAGATGAACTCTTCTAATCGCTTTTGAAAACGGCGAAATTTAGCTCCACATATTGCGGACGGTACTGTTTATTATATGAAAGCTGAAAGGTTGGAAGGGGTTTGTGTTGGTTCTTCATCCATTTTGACTACCCCATATCATTATCATATGGATATCATGTGAATAATTCCCTGTGATGACCGACAATAACCAAAGCTGATTGGCTGGAAAGCAATGGTGGGCGTCTCTATATGGAAATTAAATTCCCTTTGGACAGGTTTGGACACCCTCAAGTGATAATAAAGCAATTGATTTCTCAACTTTTTAAAAAACTCTCATTCAATCAACATATTTAGAGTACGGCCGTGTACTCAGCTCTATATTTTTGATATCATCATATACAATGAAATAAAAGCTATCAGAAGGAGTAAAACGACAACATAAGAATCAWTGGATCTTTTCTGACAGCCATAACATTACAGATAATTATAGCGTCGAAAATGCTGGTATACACCTGGTATGCCTTATCAAATATTTAGCATCACGCTTTAGTAGAATTTTAGTAGCTGTCTTTAGTTGTTCATTTTCCATAGATCTTTCTGTGGGAACGGAATGTGGTCTGCCTATCATATATTCAAAGGTACGCAATTTTACTGCACTTGTCTCTGTTATTCTGTTGCTATGTAAACTGAATACATATATTAACTGTTGCACAGATGCCACCTGACCATTTCAATGTTTTCTCTTGCGTCTGGCCAATGTTATTGTGTTAGTCTTAGTGAGGAAGTATTACAATGATAAACGATAGGAATCTCGCATTAAATCCGCCAGGAAATAGTACTGGAGTGTTTTTCTATATGGATCATTTTCGTCAGAGGCCACCACAATGTGGCCGCACAATTAACTGCACTTTGAGACAACCTTCTCAAATATGTGATCATATGTGTTCCAAACTTATGGAATGTATAATCATGGACATTCTCCTTGGGACACATCATTACAAGCCACTTATCATTTTGCCAATACGACAAAATAAATGCCCCCCTTCCGCCCCCAGCAATGTTGTGCTTATATTTGCATTCTGTTCGAGTGTTATGACGTCACGTACAACAACATTCTAGGTGGGGGAGGGGAGGGGGAGGATGGAGGGGGTGATAAGTACCGCATCTCGATAAAACCACCATTTCGTCACTGATGATGTCCCAATCTATTTTGTCCATGATTGTATGAGCGCAAGGTAAGAAGATAAAGATTAGAGAAGGATATGGTTTTCTATAAAATTATGAGTCCAAGTATAAGGGCTGAGTCAAATGTTATATGCAATTTTTTTCTTATACTATTGCATTTTTCCTCAACTCGTAAATGGCATTCTGGTTTTGGATCATTTGCGTCAGGGGCCACGCACTATTACGTACTCCTGCTATAATCCAATAAATTTCAATTTTGAATACTAATTTTCCTAAAATTCCTATGGCTCTCTCCCTCTCTCTCTGAAACCTTTATCAATGTATGGTATACATGGCATGTACTTAAATAAACGTGAAACAAGAGCGTTCCTTTGGTTGACAAATCTTTAAAACAGGTTTTTTTTAAAGAGATAAACAAAAGCTCTTTTCCAAGTGTAACTCCACTATGGGTATATTGAGCGCAAGTGACTGATCATCTACCTAATTTCGGAGAGCTGTACGATTCCTTTAATCCATTTTTGCCTTAAAATGACACGCAAGTGGGCGCATTTTGAGGACTCAGCATAGCCGTATAGCTTTCTAATCTGTTAGAAGTGAAAGTGCTAACTTTATTGCTGAAGTAGTCATTGAATTCTATTTTCTGACCTTAACAGAAACTGAGATGAATATCCAAAAAGCTACCATTTTTCTACTGATAGTCCTCGTGGCAGCAGACTTTGGAGCTGCTCAGAAAGACGAGAAAGTAGAGGTGGAAGCGAAACCTTCCAAAACAACAAKGGGAGCMCTTGGTCAAGGTTTTGAGCTTCACAAAATTGATCTTCTGAGYAAAGAGTTACAAGCAACAGGATCAAAGATTTTCGAGGAYCTACCAGCTGATGAATGCACCATTAATAACAAACTTGGCACGATACAAAGAGATGACTCCTTCTAYAGCAACACCGAGTCCCTCTACAGATCCGTTGCTACCAGCTCTAAGGTYGAACCGGRTCTCCAAGGTCCGTATACTCTCGGAGCATCTGTGGAAGCTGTTACAAACAACGCCGTATCAAAAAGTAGCGAGGTCTCTGGACTATCACTAAACCTYCAAGCATTCAGYATGGTCCATGCACTCAAGAAAGAATGTATTAACAGYAAACCCTTATCTAAAGAACTAGTAAAAGACTTCGAAGCTCTCGACAAGGAAATCAAAAGCCCATGGTTGAAGCAATCGTGGAGAAAATATAAGGTGTTCTTGGGAAAGTATGGATCGCACATTGTAAAAGAGACGCTATCAGGCTCCAGCATCTATCAGTATGTCTTTGCAAAATCTAGTAAAAACATAAGTCAGCGTAACTTCACTATCAAAGCATGTCTGTCACTGGGTGGTCCATCGCAAGTGGGAAAACTAGGAATTTCGGCATGCTCAGACATTTCTAAAAAAGAAATTGAGGAATCGTCAGGGACATCAACGACCAAAAAGTTGGTAGTMAGAGGAGGCAAAGCAGATACAAGAGTGGATTTGACTGGTGAGCTTACTAAAGAACAGATTAACAAGTTTCTGAAAGAAGCTGCAACCGACCCATCACCTATCCAGTACGCCTTTGAGCCTATTTGGAAAATTATCGAAAACAGGTMTGTRGCAATAAATGCTGATKTTGTCATCTTCCATTGCAACTGCAGAATTKYTATAGTCGACGATAGGCATGAATCAATCAATCAACCAATCAAATTTATTTATTTCGATAATATCAAAAATAACAGAGATTTGTACATAAATATATTTACTGACATAAAATCGTTTCCCGTTGAAAAGGTACAGTGGAAAAGATGAACATTACGCCAAAGCACTGAACTTAGAGCAGTTCTACAAAGGTTACCTTCATTTTGGATGCTCTTATGAACGATCGCCTAAAGACCAAGAACTCCAGAAGTTTGACCTTAGTGAGTTCAGCGACCCTGAAGCACCAACATACGTTTGCAAACTTGGCCCGCAAGGATGTCACAGTGACGAMGACTGCGAAAGCGACGACGTGTTCTATTGCGCATGCTGTGGTAAGTCATGCATACGATACAATGAAACAAGGCTAGCAAGTTCTGGAACGACCAARAAAGTGGCCTTCATAAACGATAAAGACGACGAATGGCGGAACCAAGGTTGTAACAGGGATGGCGGCCTTACCTGCAAATGCACTGAGGAAAATAAAAAGTGGGGCGAAAGTTGGTCAGGTGACAAGTTTAGTGATGCACCGCGAAGCCCAGTAAAAAGATATCGCATCAAAAAGGAAAAATCACTCTGTGTTGATGCATGATGATACTGTGAATTAAAATTGGACAAGGAATGAAATAGAAAATAAACGGAGTTTCAAAGTGAAATCCCGAATTACCTATCTCTTCAATTTTGGTGCCCGACGAGTCTGAAAAACAATGGCGGATTCACAGTTCTTTTTCTTTTCTTGTTTCTTTTGTTTTTATCCCTTTTTGACGAACTTCCGAAATGGCGGTAGGTTAAGAGGTTAAGAACGTAGGTCGAGTCAAATTTTGTCAGTCCTCGGAATTTTCCTCATCCTGATTTATTTCATAATAATATGGAATAATATAATACTATGAATAATGCGGTTCGAGCTGCAAAGGAGGGGAATGAAGATGGCTCCCAAACCTATCTTACGACGGACATCTTGATGATATTTTGTTAKAGCTTAGCCCTAACACAACTCGTGGATATCGCTCGCCCAATATCGAGCCGTAGCTCCAGTYTGATCATTGCTAAACCGGATGAAACCGGCTAGAAGAATTTCCTTAGTTTAAAGATACATGACTTCTTATATCCCACAGTTAAAGGCAGTACTTTTGGTTTTTRTAGATGCCGTCAAAATCGGCCGAAAATTAGCTCAATTAGCATTTTTACTTTAAAAATAAATGCATTTTTTAAAGGCTTCTAGCTAAGTGCAAAATTGTCGGTTTATTTAAAGAAAATCAAGTACGATTAATATAAGTTCAGTGTTGCAGGGTGTGAACAGGTATCTAACACCTTAAGTTCAGTCTAGCGCCTTATGTGCAGCTAAGACCGGTACTACGGACAATTCTCGGGGTGACGTTGAGTAAAGAAGCGAAATTCACTGAGAGTATTTCAGAGTACTGAACTGTCGAAGAGAAGCCAAAAAGAGCAATTTTGTAGTTTTTAAACCTTGACACAACAATTCATCTTGTTGCCATACTTGACACCGCTCTTTCGGTCTCAGCTTTTATGTTCTGTCATTCGGAACATGTCAACGATTAAGCGCCATTTACACGAGCAATTTTTCCTTGACGAGTTTCTTGTCAAGGAAAACTTGTCCGTGTAAATGGTCAACAAGTTTTCTTGACAATTCCTCCTTGACAATGTTTCTTTGCTCGTGTAAACGGAGAACAAGTTTTCATTGACAAGGAAAAATTGCCCGTGTGAGTTGTCAACAAGTTTTCCTTGACAATTTTTCCTTGCCAAATTTTCCTTTTCATCCATTTACACGAGCAAATTTCGTCCTTGACAATTTTTCCTTGTCAAGAAAAAATGGTCAATTTTACCCATTTACACGAGCAATTTTTCCTTGTAAAAAGTAACATGAAAAATGGTCAATTTTACCCAATTTACACGAGAAATTTTTCCTTGTCAAGGAAAACTTGTCAAGGAAAAATTGCTCGTGTAAACGGCGCTTTATTCGATTGCATGAACATTTTTAAGCACTAATTGCCCATCATATTTCGAATTGGTCAGTATCCCTTTGCGTGCCGAAAAGTCTGGAAGCAAGTGTTCTAAAGATCATCCAACCGTTTATTTGTATCAACATGAAAGAAAAAATTTGAGGAAACTTTGACGGAATTTCAAAATGACTTCTATCAAGTCTGATAACAATAGCTTTTCATACGATTTTCTGCAAATGATAACAAACAATTGTTACAAATCGAGGCTTTAGGGCCAAGCCAAGTGACATAGTAGAATCAGCTCCCGTTGGTGCAATAGAGTGCACGCCACATAAGCATGAAACAATTCTTAAGTAATTAGCGCCTAATAAGATTTAGTTATCAACTAACTAAGAATTCAGTGAGGCGTAAACAAAGACAAGTTTCCTTTCTGGCATTGTGTTCATGCTCCAGTGAATTCTTAGTTAGTTGATAACTAAACCTTATTAGATGTTGATAGTTAAGAATTGTTTCATGCTTTTTTGGCGTGCACTCTAGCCCATTTTTGATATTTTGAAGACTAACAACGCACAAAAGAATTGGAGACGGGTCCCGGGCAAACAATGTGTCATTCTTTTGTTTCCTTTGARCGTCGTCCTTTGTTCTTTTATGCATGACCACTCAACCATTACATCGCAGTTTCTCATATCAATAATTTTTAGTCAAAACAGATTTTGCAAGGACGAAAGAGACGTGTGGGCGTTTCCTCTTGAATTCTGCAGTCACTTTGTAATATGAAAATTATGGGAAAAATTCTTAGTGATAACAATGACGATGAGTGCTATATTTTAGTTTTCTATTAKAATTTGAATCGATAGATCAAGCAAAAAGTCTACAAATCAGCGCAACCATTCATTACGAAATATGTTGCCTTACTAAAGATGTACATCAAGCCATCATAAAAGTTTTAATGTTAAACCGATCGATCCCTTGAACTTTCTCAACCATTAAAATAGTTAACAAAAATGAAAAGAAAAAGAAAAAAAAAGGACAATCAGTTATGGATCAAAAGACTCGGCTGCCGACAACTGACTTCATTGATTTGCCTCATAAAATATTTAGTACTGTGATATATAGTCGATTAGATTTGGGTCAGTAGTATTATAGCTAGCTTCAACCGTTCCCCCTCTTTGCAACTAGAGACGCAGTAGTTATATCATTATATAGGTAAGTATGTTTTTGTCCGTCCGTACACCGATATGGCAACAATCCATAATAATCCAATAGTTGTTAAAGCTTAAATAGGATTATATTGCTCTATTGTCGCTAATTCTATTGTTTCCTTTGTATCACTGTTTGTTTCTACTGAATACCAAAAGATACAAACATCAAGAATAAAAACAACAATTTTATACACCYCCTGTGGTTAAATTTCAACGCATTTCATTGTCAAGTAGACACAAATAAGTTAAGTAATTAACAAATGCTGAAATGTATTGTTCTACTATCAATTTCACTTTCCTAAAACTGATAACTGCAAGCTATATCCAAACTATATTATCAACAGTATGAAACAAAACAAAGAAACCATTTTGTGCATGTGTAAATACAAATAATGGCTTTGAAATGAATATGAAGAAAAGAAAATCAAATTATCCTTATCCTTATCATTTAAATGTTTCTTTCTTTTTCATTTTGATATTATATAGAATCAGATAGAAGCGATTTTTCTCTCCCCGAAAKATCCGTTATTGAAACAAATTTGGACATATATATTTCTAGATTGTTTACTCACAAATTAAAGCGGTGCTGTGTGTAGTGGACTTTGCCTTAGTCAATTATTAATATATCGGAAAATACACTTGTGTTCTTTGAGTTAGTACGTATTTCTGGCTTTTGGAAAAGAATGGTTCCCATATCTTTCATCGATTTAGAACAGCGCTTTGTTTCCTGAAATGTAGAGCCGTTATTTCATGTTTCAATTACTTTTCAAATCTTTCAACCTTAAACAATTGAACCCGCAATTGAACCTGCACAGATTTGAAGGAACGCCTACATGTCTAACAATATCTTTGAAACATCGTTCCCAAAAAAACATCGTTCCCAAAAAAACATCGTTCCCAAAAAAAACATTGTTCCCCAAAAAATGGGTTACTGTATCACAACTGAAATCCAGCATTCTGAATGAATTTCAATGAAGCTGAAGGACAAAGGAGAAAGAGCTGGTTAATATAGTTAAAACAAATTATTTACCCTGATTCAAGACTTTTCTTAATGCTTTTTTTTTACAATTTATCGTCGTTTTGCCTTTCTTTTTTAAATTTAAAAAATACGATTGATACTAAAAAAACTTATAGAAAAGAAGAGAAAACCTCTGGATCAGGGTATCAATTATGAAGACATTCAATTAAAATATACTTGTTCGTAGTAAACCAGTAAATTATTTTCCTTTGATCYTTATTTAGAGAAAAGATGGCAATTTACAAGTCTGCCATTTTGCTACTAATAGTCTTCGTGACAGCGGAATTTGTCGCTGCCGAAAAAGAGAAAGTCGAAGTTRAAGCAAAGCCTTCCAAAATATCAAGGGGAGCCCTTGGCCAAGGCTTTGAACTCCATAAGATAGATCTCCTCAGCAAAGAATTACAAGCAACAGGATCAAAGATTTTTGAGGATCTACCAGCTGATGAATGTACAATAGATGACAAACTTGGCACGATACAAAGAGATGACTCCTTCTAYAGCAACACCGAGTCCATCTACARATCCGTTGCTACCAACTCTAAGGTTGAACCAAGTCTTCAAGGACCGTTCACCCTWGGAACATCTGTAGRAGCCGTTACAAATAACATTGTGTCAGAAAAGWCCGAGGTATCTGGATTATCACTAAATCTYCTTGCATACAGCATGGCCCATGGCCTCAAGAAAGAATGCATCAATAGTAAATCCTTGACCAAAGAAATATTAAAAGACTTCAAAGACCTCGACAAAGAAATCAAAAACCCATGGYTGAAGCAGTCGTGGAGAAAATATAAGGTRTTCTTGGGAAAGTATGGATCGCACATTGTAACGGAGACRCTATCAGGYTCCAGCATCTATCAGTATGTCTTTGCAAAATCCAGCGAATCCTTCAAACAGCGCGACTTCGCCGTCAAGGCTTGTGTTTCATTGGCAGGTCCGACACAAGTAGGAAAACTTGGGATTTCGGCATGCTCAGACGTTTCTAAAAAGGATATAGAAGAATCATCAGGGAAATCAATGATCAAAAAGTTGGTAGTCAGAGGAGGGAAATCAGAYACAAGAGTGGATTTGACTGGTGAACTTTCCAAAGAACAGATTAACAAGTTTCTGAAGGAAGCTGCGACCGACCCATCACCTATCCAGTACGGCTTTATGGGCATTTGGAAAATTTTCTTAGCCAGGTAACTTAAATAGTGTAAATTTAGAAATACTTTGGAAATAGTTGATTCGCATCTCATTTCTCGATCTTTAATCATTTCTTTTAAATGACCTTTCTTTACTGCTTTTCATATCTGCTGGTCGCCATTTGTGTATTTTTAATGTTAAAACATTAACATTCAGACTTTTCCAATAAATAACAGCATTTTGTCCTATTTTCTTTCCTTCTTCCTTTCCTTCAATAGTCAAATGTTCATTTGCTTCATACCAATTAACTGCTAGAATCAATCTTTTCCAATAACAGATTTGTTGGAACAGAGCACTATGCCAAAGCAACCAATTTAGAGCAGTTCTACAAAGGTTACCTTAGYTTTGGATGCTCTTTCGAACGATCGCCAAAAGACCAAGAACTTCAGAAGTTTGACCTTAGTGAGTTCAGCGACCCTGATGCCCCAACATACGTTTGCAAACTTGGCCCGGAAGGATGTCACAGTGACAGCGACTGTGAGAGCGACAACATTGTCTACTGCGCGTGCTGTGGTGAGACATGCATAAGATACAATGAAACAAGGCWAGCAAGTTCTGGAAAGACCAAGAAAGAAGCCTACATAAACGACAAAGACGACGAATGGCGAGGCCATGGTTGTAACAAGAAAAACCTTAAATGCAAATGTACTGAAGAAAACAAAAAGTGGGGCGAGAGTTGGTCCGGWGAAAGCGAAAGTGACAGCGTATTAAGAGACATCAACTGGATTTTGTCAACAAAAAGAAAAGCAGAACAAGCCAAACGACATGAAGTCAAGAAACAAAAATCARCACATGTCAATGCTGAGAATAAAGAACAATAATATAGCACAARAAATAGAAATCCTTCACTGTATGAAGTTTAAAATAAACTAAAAGCTTTAAATTCACTTCTAGTGAGTCTTATTTCCTTTCACTCCATCACTCAATGACAGTATCCATCTATTTTTCATTTTGACTAGAATTTACCCTAAATACTAAACAAGAAAGCTAATGTTAAATGCTTTTCCTAATTGCTATAAACAGCTTTAGTATCATTAACGTTGCTATAAAGTGTTTTAGCACGTTATCTTTTAAACCGTTCATCCCCTAAAAAAATAAATGAAACCGGAATATCAATTGGTTTATCTACTTTGTATGTTAGAGAAGTTAGCACCAATCCACCATTCAAAATCACCGAATTATGTCACCCGCAATAATAGATTTAACTAAACAGCGCTACGTCCAAAAAACTGAAATGAAATAAGTTCTTATTGTGGGATCGATGCCCGAGTAATACCGAGTAATACGACTAAAACCAAAGAGGTGTGTGAGGAAATCAGGTCATGAGAGAGTGATGACGATAACAGTGGTATTTACTCGAATAATGTAAAGATATGAATATGAAGACCGCATGGCACTATAACTCTCTTTCATTTCTATATCGTATTTACTCGAATACTCGCAACGTTTTTTTCATTGTCTTGATTCGTCTTGAGGGCGGCGTTTGTTCATAAATCCCTTTATTCAACAAGATATTTTTTTGATGTTTTTAACATTACGTCATTTTAATTTGCTCTCAAAGAGTTGTATTGAAATTGACAAAAGTAAATTATCTAATGAAGATGTAATGTTGCTTGTTTCAGGTCGCTATTGGAATCTAATACCTGTGCTAGTCATTTCTTTATGCAAAACAACCCCGCATCATCCTACGATGAAAAACCATTACCTCATTAGGAGGCAGGAAATGAAAATGTAAATCCCGCAGATAAAGAAAATGCGTGAGTAGACATTGCGGTCGCTACCTGAATTGTTTTCATTGTCTACAATTTGTACAGTTACAGTAAATCCAAGATTCAAAACCAGTTAGATTCAAATGGGATGATTATATTTCGTTAAAGGTATTAGCTTAATTTTTGTTTTTGTTATACTTTGTTTTTCGAAGAGTTAAAGCATCAGTTCAAAGAGGTTGGAAGGTTTTCAACCATAGCACCGCTTTCTTTAAGATCAAAAGGCGTAAAAGGAACAAGTCAAATACCTCGTTAAATTTTCAGTATTCGACTATACAAAAAAAACATATCTGAAATTTGCTTCAACGTGGATTTGCATAGTAAAGGTATATACTATACTGGGAATTTGTATTTGCATAAGGTATATATATTATATATTTCTAGATATCGTTATCTGAAATTGCTAAACTCTGGTGTATTTTTCTGGTCCCAGGGTAGGTCCCAGCGAATAAGAAAACAATGGCAATACCCATATGAYAATATGTCAAATATGACAATCAAAGAAATAATTGCATTAATAATATYGACAATAACGTACTCTGGTTATCACTCTGTTACATCAGTGTTTATTGGATGTTTTAAGCGCAAAAAAGTGATATCTTTTGAAGTAATAATATACAATTTATTTTTTATAGACAGAAAGATTTTCTATTTCAAGGGAGTTAATATAATAGCATACCTTATTTAATATCGTTTAATTAGGAAATATATATCTCTTAGTCAAAATTCTTTCAATATTCCATGAACCAATAGGATTTGTTGAGAACGCTTTTAATTTTCTCTCAGATGAGCCTGAGCTTTCAAACAACTTCCGCTCTGGTAGTGCTGATCTCACTGGTGACCGCAGCAGGATATACTAGTCCCAAATATAAACCAACCATCCAATCAGATTCTAMTATCAATGTTAATACCATTCAAGGAGAGTCAAAAGCCAAGCCGACAGATACATCGAGRGGTGCATTGGGTCAAGGCTTCGAGCTGAGTAAAATTGATCTGCTAAGCAAGCAACTGCAAGCGACAGGAGCTAARATATTTGAGTCCCTTGATCCTGACGAATGYACGCTGACTGACAAYATTGGGAGTACRGAGAAGGACGACACTTACTATAGTAGCACGCAGTCCCTCTATTCGTCGGTATCTTCAMAAACAAATGTTGGTTCGGATATGAAAAGTCCGTACACTTTCGGTGCGTCTGTAACAGCTGTCACAGATAAYACTGTATCAGGAAACACAGAAATATCAGGACTCTCACTTAATCTCAARGCATTAAGCATGTCTACTGCRCTGAAGAAAGACTGCATTAACAAYAAACCTTTGRCAAAAGAGCTCGTGAAAGACTTTGAAAATCTTGACAAAGAAATAAAAAATCCACACAGATTGCAGTCCTGGAGAAAGTACAAGGTATTTTTGGAGAAGTATGGATCACACATTGTAAACGAAGCACAGTCAGGCTCCAGCATCTACCAGTATGTCTTTTCAAAATCTACCAAAAAAGTCAGACAGAGAGACTTAACAGTCAAGGCTTGTGCCTCATTAGGCGGTGCGAAACTAGCAGGAAAACTTGGCATTTCTGCTTGTTCAGACGTTTCTAAAAAGGAAGTAGAAGAATCGTCTGAAAAATCAATGATCAAAAAGTTGGTAGTCAGAGGAGGSAAAGCAGAYACAAGAGTGGATTTGACTGGTGARCTTACTAAAGAACAGATTAACAAGTTCCTGAAAGAAGGTCAAACCGACCCATCRCCCATCCAGTATTCATTTTACTCAATATGGAACATTCTCCAATCCAGGTAGGTTTTACGAAAGAACAGAGACGTGAAATTCCTATTCTTCTACTTTTATGCATTGATATCCTTTTTATATTTTTATTTCTTAGACCTTTTTAAGTAAACAGGAGCCCATGCGGCAGAGGGAAGGGCTTGTGCAACTGA